CCCCAAAACCCCAAAACCCCTCACTGCAATAATAAATCTTGTAATTTAGAAATTAACATTAAATACTAAAATATTTGAAATAAAGATCATTGAGGCTAATGAAATCCCATTACTGAATCAAAGTCTCTAGCTTCTCCATCCCTATCTAAATCTTTTTTCAGTATATTATCAGTACTCTGCTCAAACTGATTAGGCGTTTGTATCAGGTGATAATTGTTATAATTACTTACAGCCTCAATGCTATAAACTTTAGCATTATTTGTGGAATTTCTAGAGAATTCATCCATCTAAATAGGTCTATTTACAGTATTTTATATAAATTGCATGTAGGAGTCATAGGCCTGGTTTTTAACATTTCTAATATCCTCTAAACTCCTTTCAATAATTCTAGGATCGATATTTTTGAATTAAATTCGATCTTCTTGAATAGAGTTTTCTATGTACTTTAGAGTCTTGGTTCTCTTAAGTAAGGAAGTTTCCTAATTGTTGCGTAGTTGTGTTTCAATGAGATCGTAATTATTTTCTTCTGTTTTATTTCTTAGAGCTGGGAACATTCCTTAGTGTAGGGATGAGTTCTGACTGCCTTCACCAATCGATTTAAGAGTATGTCTTATTTAAGATGTCTCATTAAATTGAGATGACTTTAGCCCTCTTTTAATTCCTTATGATTTATTATGGTAGTAACGCTCCTTCAGGTTTTTAATAATAAGATTTTGCCTATCTAATGGCTCCTTACTGCTGGTGTTTAATCCGAAATAATGCAAAGGGGTAGAAATGTTGATCTCATGAGATGTGATGTTTGTGGATTCACCTATTTTTCTCAATCTTCCACTTTAATTTAAAACTAATTAATTCTTTATCTTAAGTTTGTCGATTTTATTTGCCTTTCTTTTCTCTTTAAGGTCAATCTGATCTCTGTAATGGTTAAACTATAATGCTGAAACTGAAGGTTCCACTAATCCAAACATGTTGCTATCAAGATCACCTTTTTCATCGATTAGTATTGAGTTGCATTGATACAATACCCTGCCTTAGTTGAAAGCTTTTTCCATTTAAGAAACACTAACGTTTGGTGAAACAGAGGAGTTATCATTAATTCTTATGAATTATTATTCCTGATTTTGATTATTTCTAAGACTAATGAGTGATTAATGATTTAAAACTATTTCTCTTTGATCAGACGAGAATCCGTTATTAACGAAATGCCCTAATAGATCACCTTTCGTATCACTTTTATCAAGAAAATTATTATCTGTTAGATCTTTTTCTACTCTATTGACTATTGATTTTTCATGTTTTTCATTCAATTCCAACTTACTTTACTTTAATATCAAATCTAATCGGGGTTTGTAATTTGAATTATTTGAGTTAAATTAGGCCTATGATGAATTTTAAATGTTATTCAAGTGCATGTTATTTTCATCTGTTAGCTTATTAGATATACTAATTGTCTTATTCTTCTTTTTAATTTGATTGTTCAAGAATTCATCATTTCTCGATTTTTTAGCTTAGTTCTTTTGTAACATATTTTTGAAGTTTCTTAGAAAGCTGTTACTTTTTTAGAATGGATGGCATGATTCGCTGAACATATTTTTCACCTACTCATTTGTTGTCATGTCTAACTTAATCAATCTTAGATGATAGAACAATAGATATGCTAAGAATATGAAAACCTAATGTTAAATCATTCATAGTCTAATAACTTACAATTAAAGAAGCTACTATTAGGACAATAGAGACAATCATAAAAAGTAATGACTTCTAGAATGCAATCTAAGTTAGGGTGTAGCTAAGAATTAAAGCAGCATAAATAGTCGTCATAGTGATGAGATTAATGAAGTATTTATAATTTTTCACACCAATGCATTTACCCAGCCAAATGCAATGATGGTCAAATTTCTATATACATCTATCACAAATGTGGCAGTGTGATGCTCTAAGTGGCCTTATAATCTCGCAAGTTAGGCAGTATTTCATTCGGGCTATTCCAATATTTGTTGAAACTAAAATACTCTGCTATGTATCATTCATTTTCTAAATAGCAGTACAACTCTATTTCATATGATTTGCAATTTTATGAATTTACCTTTGTAATCGATCTTTAAATAATCCCAGGATCACTTTTACCAATCATTATTAAGTAGTAAGCATTTATGGACTCTATCAAAATGAAGATGCATTCGATTATGACAATTTAATTAGTATCTAGCATCTCTGAAAACTTTAGAATTAAAGAAAAGCTTAATTACTGGAATCATATAGATATTCATAATTAGACAAACACATGAAAAAGCACTTAAGCATAGATAAAAAGGATGTGGCTTCATTCTAAATATTTTGAAAAATAGGAATTTACCCATAATAAATTATACTTCAGGAGAATCTCTTCTGAACACTCATAGTCTGCCTCAATTTTTCAGACACCTTCTCAAAATAATCTTGAAAATTAGGAGGAGTTTCTCTTTCATCTTGTAATGATGCCATTTAAAGAAAATTTATATATTATACAATCTAATTTAATCTCTTTCGAGCAAATTAAAAATCCTTAATAATACTGGGTTTAGCTTTTCAGGGGTTTTGGGGTTTTGGGG